GACTTCGAGGTTCTAACCTTCTACTTTAAAACCAAAAGGCTCCTGTGCTTGGCTAATTAATTCAATTCTTCTTGTGCTTTTATTGTTTTGTTCCTTGACTGAAAGACTCATCAAGCTGTTTCATATTAACATTAGTGACATATGGACGATTATAGGAGACTGACCAATCAGCACACAGCAAGAACTCAGTGCTAAAGTGAAATCCAGGTGTTTTTAATTAAAATGGTAGTTTGCAAACCCTGTCCTGGCTCATAATGTCCCCTCTGGCGCGCATTAGGTGGACATCCTATCCAGGTCAAGGGGTCTAGTACAATATCCAGTCGTAAATATGATTAATATTGTGAATCATTTTACATAGAAGCATCAGGTAGGCATCTGCTTCAGATTTGCAGTTATTAATTACAGTCATAAGACACATGAATGCACTGTACTTGAGCCAAAGGAAAAGCAAAAGCGTTTTGTAAATCCTCTATGCACACAATCTATATAAAATCCATCCATCTATTTTCTAAATGCTTATGTTGGTCAGGGTTGCAGGGAGCCCTGGAGAATATCCCAAGGCTGGGTACACACTGGCCAGGATGCCAGCTATATAGTATCCATAAATGGAAATTAGAGTGTTGCTGCTGACTCTTTAAGACTTAGAGAACGTCCCACGCGTTTTTAATATATCCGAGCACCTACAAATAAACCAGGGATACAGAATTACACTTAAAGTTCAACGTTCATCTCCCAAGGAACAATAACAGTTGTTGCACCCTTGAAGGAGTTACATCTGATGTCACAATAGGAAAATTACTTTCGATTTCATTATCCCCCGAAGACCTCCCAATGCCCCTCAAGCACGTAATTAATCATAACCACTTCTAACCAGATCTTACAATTCTAACATGATTGCTTAAACCAAATGTTTTTAGCTGAAACATTTACCACCATTGCCTGCAGCAAAACAATCGAGAAAATGGAGAATCTGTTAGCTTGTATTTAATGCTGGTCAAACTCACTTGGCGCCCTGGGTAAGCTTCACTACTGCCACCCCTACCTCCCCTGCCCTCCCCTGGCACACCTCACTGCCCAATTTCACTTTGCTTCGGCCGGTTGACCCTGGGGGGGGCACCCTCAGCAATTGCCCATCTTGCCCTTGCCGCCCGGATCCAGGACACTGAAGCACAGCGACTCTGCCTCTTTGTCGTCTTCGGCGCTTTCAGTGTTCCATATTAACAATCTGGAAGGCTCTGCAATAAAAATTAGCATAAATATGAATATAAATGTAGATTAGGCTAATATAACTGTATATTAGTTCTAATGTGGGATCCCGTTGTTGTTAAGGAAATGTCACCTCGTAGATATTAGTGAGATATTCTGAATCTAATTTGCAATTTAACTTATGTGGGGCAACATATGTAGCCGGAGAGGTGTAAACACACATTCAATACATAAATAGCTGACGTGGTGTTATTAGTGTATGACTAGTTAGCTTTAGGATAAATACAAAACAGTGGATGCCAGGTGTCTGCACTTTTGCCAAGTGTTTTCGGAATACAGGAGGGAATTTTCTGAATTAGTCATGCGTCATTTCACAATGGGGATACGTTCTGAAAAATGCGTCCTTAAGTGAGTTCATTATTGCTCAAACATTGTAGAGTGTACACAACCTAGGCTTCAGTAAACTTTTTTATTCATAGAAAGAGTGCATTCTAAATTAACGTAACGTAAAATAACGTAAAATAAAAGTACAGTCAGTAAAAGCATTAACCAGTAATATATTTCTTATCATTATCAAGTGTTATGTACTGTACATAATTGTATGTGCTATCCTTTAATACGACTGGCAGTGCAGCGCACCAGCATCACCACAAACGCATTGCACTGCGACGCTACATTGCCTACAATGGCTACAATGCATACAATGGCTCTGCAATATATTTCAGCACCATTATAATGTTACGGGACGACCATCATATATGCAGTCCATCGTTAAGCAAAACATCATTATGCAATGCATGACTGTATTCTGCAACTTCAGGTGCTGGGATGGTTGATCTCCGGGTCCTTGCTGATTGGAGCGGGCAGCTGTGATGTATGGCCTGGCGACGTCCTACAGAACCTGCGACCATGAGCACTGGGCTGCTCAGAACCAGGCTGCTCTTCAGCTTGACTCTCGTCAGTGGAGACTGACACAGAGAGCACTGACACACATATACCTGCAGATTGGAACCCATAAAGATGCCAGTTCAAGGCCTGAGTTGGACACTAAATCAGAACCACACTGATAAAACAGCCAACTGTGTAAATGGGTAAAAATTCTTAGCATCTTCGAATAAAAGCATCAAATACGCAGATAAATGGATCAGCCTAATACATTAGCTTGAGTCTGATAAAGGAGGGTTGGCCGGCTGAAATGCCCTGAGATACCGTAGTATACAGAATAGAGAGGCTTAATGCCAGTTCTGCAGCTGAGGGCGGCCGTCGCGGGGAAAGGGCAATTTTAGTACATTTGTGGAAATGCATGAAGCCGGTAGATGAGGTGAGTGCAGAGATAAACCTGGGGGCAGCCAAGACTTTTTCAGGGCAGGTCAAGGTTTATGTGATGACATAAGAGGCACACAAAGGCTGCTCTAAGATAAGCTGTCTTTAAGGATGGGGGGAGCAGACCTGGCAGAAGGTCTAGCAGAAGAGAACAATGAAGGGATTTCGCACAATGGTTTACCTTTTCTACCATAAAGGCCACGTAATACTGAAATGCCAGAGACAAAAACAATAATTCAGTCAGTTATTCTCAGTGCAGTTAACTGTTTCAGGTTTATCAATGAAATAAAACACAAAACATTTTCAATTTTTAAAATAACAGAATACTTGGGGATTCACATGCTCTTGGTTTGCAGATGTGTACGGCCCACTTACTATCATTAACTCTTACCCATCAACCTCTGGAGCCACTTGTCCTACTCAGGGTTGTGGGGGCCCCGGGGCCCATATGAGAAGCTATGGGTACAAGACAGCAGATAACCAATCACCGGGGGCCACACACACCATTCACGCCTTCAGACAGTGTGGCAACTCCAGTTCACCTTAGCATGTTTTTGGACTGTGTGGGGAAGCCAGGATACCTGGAGGAAACTCTACAATGACGTGGGAAGAACACAAACTTTACACATAGAACTGGGGGCCAAAACTGAAACCCCATTGCCAGGGGTATGAGGCAACTGTGCTAACCACTGCACCACCATGCCGCCCCCCAAATTACCCATTTCAGTTTAAATGAATTTAATAAGTCATTCATCATTTCTTACACCAATAAAGGATGCTTTATTAAGTCTATGATTAAGGGTATGGAATTTGTTTAAACATGAAATCAAATATTTATTTTACTTTTTAATTGCAACAAAGGAATTATATGAATACAGACAAGTAACAGGTGACAAAAGACTTCCTATAGGCCTATTCAGAATAATTTCATACAAGACAATTTTTTCTGTTTTATAAGAAAATGTGTGTACATCATAATCCGACCTACCCCAAATACTTAACACAGGACATATATTCCCAGAAGTCTCACCTACAACTGAGATTTGGCACCTCAATCCTATAGGAAACATAGGTGCCCAACTTCCTCGGGGGGCGCCGACTTGCCAGCCAATTTAACATTGCCTCGGACGAGGGGCGCCGGCGGTCATGTTCGCTTAGGGCGCCACATCGGCTAGGACCGGTTCTGCCGCCAGCCAGTATAAAACGTGTCCCTTTCGCAACAGTTGGTCACCCGTGGGTAAGGAGCGCACGGATGCTGGGAGGCAGCACTAATGCCACCGGCATTAATAACAGACGCTTCTCAGCCAAACCATGTGCAGCTACAGCATCCGCGATTCATTTTCCTCGGCTGTGGCAACCGAAGCGGCAGACTGGGCTGGACGCGCGTTTGCGCTTTAGTGCTTTAAGTAACGCTGGTTTGCGGCAACCATGTTTGGAAAACACGCCGAGCACATGAAAGTGCTTCGTGTCGGCAAAGTATGGAGATGAATCAGAAGGAAATATTTTTTCCCGTCGCGTCATCTGTTGCACAACAAGAAGGGGAAACCCGTCCGGAAGAAAATGGTTAAGCGTAATTGCGTCTTTTTCAGACTGAAAACGCCTTGGCTATTTGGTTAATGAATCCGGACTATTCGGCTGCTCTGCCGTGGCCAGATCCGCTGCTCAGGACTCCCACCGTTACTTCTACTTTTCGCTCCCCGTTGTGCGTCTACGGTGGAATCAATATGAAATAAGTATTTTTCCTTGAAAATACCACAATAAAATATCTGTTTATACACGAAAAATCAAGAAAGGATCGGTAAGTTTAATTTTTCATGCGCATGCACGCAGGCGAGCGAACTTCACTTTAATTTATACCCGCATGTCAGTCTGTACACATAGCCTATAAGCACCTGTTTATTTGGATACTTATACCAACATCACCTTGTGGTGACGATGTGTTGCAAAAGGAAGCGTTTGGAAATAATATTATTATACATTTATAATTTTGACATATAGGCTGCATCCTTTAATCTCCAGTTGCTGAGGATAAGTTTGATATATTTTTTTAATTAAGGGTAATGATCCCTACGCGAATCACAGATTACATATCAAATGGCCTTTCTCGAAACCGAATAAAAGTTGAATATATTAAAAGTAACGGTGTTGTGGATGTACTTTAAATAGTTTAATGTGCTATTTCTGCAACGTGCTGCCGGCTCAGGTTCATGATCCTGTTTCATTTCGGTACCAACGTCGTATCTACCCAAACCGGCTCGTTTTCTAGCGAAGTGCAAATTTAGATGACAACCCGCATTATTTACCATAAATCATGTCTCCTGAAAAATGTTATGCCTGGAAAGACAGCCAGCACTCCGACGGAGCGATATCAAAACAGTCCCGTGTTTTCCGCTGGGATCAGGCAGTTAAGCAGTTTTAAGTATTTTATATGTGTATAATATAATGTAAGTCATGGAGACGCGCGTTCGGCTGTGAAGTGGCTTTGATTTCGTGGCACAGGGGCTGCGCACCTCCCTCCCCATGGGCGATGTAAGCTTTCATCCAGGGCGCTGTTTGAAAGTCGGTGACCCCATGTATAAAATCGCGTAGCCCGTGCAAATGAACTTATTTCCCTAATAAACATTTCAGGATGCCCGTTTGATGGGGGAGTGTGTTAACCCCCTGTGTGTGTGTGTGTGTGTGTGTGTAGACCAGCGTTTAGCGCTTTCTCGTCTTTTCCTCGACTGTTGCCCCCGAAGGGTCGCCGGGTGAGGATCTGGACATTTCCAGACGGCACACGGTCCCTGTGGCATGGTCCTGCCTTATTTGGAGTAAGGACACTGTTTATACCGCAGTTTTTTGGCACAGGAGGGTGATCTGCGTTCGCTCAACATTAAATCAAGCCGGCAGACGAGGTACACGGAGATGTAGACTTAAGCTGGAGACGTGGTGTTTGTGAATTGATATTTCCTGGCGCTGTTGTGTGCATAACAGGGGGATGGGGGCACAACATTTTTTCAAGTAGCAGCCAAATGGTCATTTAGTTGAAATGAGATTCTAAGTGATACTGTGATACATTAAGCAATTCGGAACTCTACTAAACAATCAAAATGTTTTGTATATGTGTGTAGCTAATATTTTATACACAATAAGTTTTATGCCAGTCTCAGTCATTAATTCTCTGTCTGATTGAATGTTTTACATTAGAATAAAATTGATATGCCCTCTATTCAACTGAATCTGTCCCAAAGAGCTCGCGCGTCTGTTTGAATTACAAAGAACATGGCAGCGTATAATCTAATGCTACAGTTCAGTAAACCTCAGAAAAAGTGCATAATGGTAAACCATCGATTCATGGAGATTTAAAACATTACCCACTGGCAGCAGGAAAGATATGTGAAATCGTTTCTCATTGTTAGCTTTGGGGCCAAGGTGATTATTTCATGAAAATGGAAGTAAAAGGAGAAACTTATCACAAAGAAGCTCATATTATTGAAATTTCCATCTGTCTTTTGTAACTGCTTATTAAGTACAGGGTCACGGTATTGGCCAGGAGATGATCCCAAGGTAGTCCTAGGGAGACCCCAGATGTGATGACATTGCTTGATTGTACATTTTCACCAGATTTCTGCTGAATCATACATAAATGAGGACCCAGGCTGTAGCTTTGTTAGGACAGTATGCGTTTGTAAGAAACATCACTTTGCCTTTGTCCAGAAAAGAGCCAGTGATCACACACATTAGCTGGTTGCAGATTCTTGTAATCACCAATTTAGTGGTGCGTGTCTGTTAAACAAGTAATGAAAACATACCTTTCCAACTGTTTGGTATTTAAAGCCTTGTCTACCATACACTCTCAGGAAAAAGGGTAAAAATTTGTACCTTTGCTTGTCACTGGGGCTGTACCCTCAAGGGTCTGCCAATTGTACCCTTAGCTGTATAGGTAACTGTACCAACAGAGTACGTTTTACACTTTTCAAAGTACATTTATGTACTCTGGTACATAAATGCTGTTTATACAATTTGGATGTTCCTCAGAGTCCATTTGTACCTTAAAAAGTACAATTATAATGGTATAGCCCCAATGACAAGAAAATGAATTAATGAATCTTTATTGTCATCATACAAAGTACGATGAAATTGGATGCAGTCCCTTCAGTACAAATGTTTACCCTTTTTTCCTGAGAGTGTACAAAACCCTGCCTTCCTGCATGCATTGCATGACTATGTGGCCATAATGAGGCATGAGGACTTTTGCTTTTGTACAATGCTCGCCTCTCCAAGCAAGAGTTTTTAAAATGGGATGTGTGTCTCTCTCTACTCCCATGAGCCCATCAGCTTGGAGAGCAGGAAGGGGCCCTCGCTATCCAGTCAGGTGGTGTCCTAGCAGTTGAGGAGCCTGTCACTCGAAGGTCACAGGTGGAAATGCCATGAAGAGTCAGTCGTACGTCTGTAGGGAGGACGTGGCTGTGTGCACATAGCCAGGATTGCTTCAGATAGGTGCTAGGAGGCGCTGTGAGGCTCGGTGAGGTAGGACCCTGTGCTTGTGTTCGGAAGGTCGTTGGTTTATATTCTTCCGGGGCTGGAAGATCAGTTGAGTAGCCATTGGGTCCCTGATTTAGACCCCTAACATGCTGACTGTCCCTATGCTGTGACCCCCCCCCCCCCCCCCAACTTTCATGAAGAACAAGATGGGGTAGACAGAAAGAGAATTTTCCCTTGGAGATGTGTTAAGTATCACTTTTCTGTTCTATGAGCAGAGTGGATTAGGGGTGTGGTTTTGCCGGGAGGTTAGGGCGGGACCAGATGTATGTCACTGTCTGATTGGCTGTTTGTTTGTAGCATGACGTCACTGTCTTTTTGTCTCCCAATCTTTGGCCTCTGTTGTGAATTCCCGTCCCCTGTTGGCCCTCCCACGTGCCCAGTGGCGTGCCATGGCCTAGCAGCATGGCGCAGCTGTACTTCCGGCGGACGGACAACTCCTCCTACAGGGACCGCATCCCACTGCGCATAGTGCGGGCCGAGGCAGAGCTCTCGCCCCTGGAGAAGGCCTACCTGAGCGCGGTGGAGAAGGGCGACTATGCCAGTGTCAAGCAGGCCCTGGAGGAGGCCGAGATCTACTTCAAGATCAACATCAACTGCATCGACCCGCTGGGCCGCACGGCGCTGCTCATCGCCATCGAGAACGAGAACCTGGAGATCATCGAGCTGCTGCTCAGCTTCAACGTGTACGTGGGGGACGCCCTGCTGCACGCCATCCGCAAGGAGGTTGTGGGGGCCGTGGAGCTGCTGCTGAATCACAAGAAGCCCAGCGGGGGCATGCAGGTGGGGGAGGGACGTCGGGGGAGGGGGAGACACAGAATCACATTCATAACATTTACTTTGCATTACTCATGCATGATTTTATTACTTTGATTGTTTTGATTATTCTTGATTGTTTTGCCCGAAGTACGTTCCTACTACGCAGAAGCATTTGGAGATAAATAAATTATTCCGATTTACACTTCATTTATATAGCAATCACCTCTTGTCCAAAGCGATGCTCAAGTGAGGCTCAGATAACAGTTCAGTCAGTCCCTGGAGCAATTGGGGGGGTTAAGAGTCTCGATCAAGGGGCCAACAGTGAAACCACTCTGCCGACTCTGGGATTTGACCCGACGCCCTTTCGATGGCGAGTCTGAGTGCGCAGAGCCACACATGCGCACACACACCTGCCCACGTACACGCACTGCAAAAAAGATGACATTCATATTTAAGATAAACTGTTTCTGCTTTGAGACAAGACAGCCTAAAACTAGCAAAATTATCTGCCAGTGCAGTAAAAAATTGTACTTTGTGAGATTTCTTAAAATAAGAGAATATCCCTAAATGCAAGCAAATTATTCTTATTCATATGATGTGTTGTTAGTCAGTTTATTAATAAAATTTGATTTTTTTTTTTAAATATAAGAAATTTATACTTGCTTAGATTTTCATTTTTTGCAGTGCATTCATTGGTCATTTAAATATGGAACTCCTGCTGATTATCACAAATATACTGCTTCATACAGTTAATGCTTTGGCTCCAGATGAATGTATGCAGCCTGTAGACAGGATCAGGAGTTTTAGTTTCCGTACAGCCAAGCATCAGAATGGCTCAGATGTGTAATCTAACTGATTTTAAACATGGTGCATTATTTGCGTCAGGCATGCTGATTCCGGCATCTCGGAAAGCAACCACCCTCCTGGGCGAGATTCACATTCTAATTTGTCTAGAGTTTCAAAGAATGGTGCCATAAACAAAACAAAAAAAAACATCCAGTTAATGAGAGAAGTCAGGGGAGAGTGGTCAGACTTGTTAAAGCTAACTGGAAGGTCGCAAGTGCAAAAATAGCAATGCAGTACGGCAGTGGTGAACAAGAAGCGTCACCCGATGACTCCAAATGCATCAATCCTTGAAGTCTGGAGGAAGAAGCGTGTCCTACCTGCTACTATGTGTAGGAGTACATAATAAAGTGGCCACTAAGAGTGTATCCACTCTCATCCACACGTATATGCAAACCAGTCTCTTTGTTATACATGCACACACTCTATACTCATCTATACTCTCCCTGTTCTACTCTTACATACTACTCGTATACGGACTCTATTCTCATAATGCCTTATACTTTTGTATACATACTCTTACATATATATTCATATTGCCTAGCACTCTAATATAGACTCTGTTATCTGTACTTATATTACCTTAAATTTTAGTATATACATATACTGTCTTATACTCATTTTCTTATACTCTGGCATACACACACACACATATACTCATTGGCTAATACTCTAGCACACACATATTCTCAGCCTTATACTCCAGTACATATACATACTCTCATCTACAGTATACTCATATTGCCTTATACTCCACAGATAGTACATATACATACTCTCATCTACAGTATACTCATATTGCCTTATATTCGACAGGTAGTACATGTACATACTCTCATCTATACTCATATTGCCTTATTCTGTAGTACACGCACATACTCTTACAGTATGTATGCCCATATTACCTTATACTGTGGTACTCACATTATGTCATCTATAACACACATCTACTGGGGTCAGATTGCATTAAGTCGCACCCCAGTTGGCGCATGTCCAAGTCGCTCCATGTTCTCGCGAATACATAATTACACCGTGTGGCATGCAAATGTGCAAATTTCCATGTCTCTAGATCAGAATTCTAGTAATCAAAAGGCTGAATGTGCTTTTTTGTATTGTTTTTCCTTTTTTCCCCCCAGAGACATACTTTGATGAGTGTGCGACACATGCTATCCTGTGGTGGGTGGGGGCGTGTTGGGGGGCTAAGATGAGAAAAAAGGCTTGGCTTAATTAACACCATCGAATGTATGATGTTGAAAAGACTGTTTGCGTTCCTGTCGCGAGCAGATCTTTCAAGAGAATGGGGAGTTTATCAGAGTGAAGCCTTGTTATGGCATGTCAGATATTTATAACCTCCTACTGACGCCATGGTGATTGTGGAAGAGGTGGATTTTATTTAAATCTAATAGGCTCCTAATTAGCTACTATTCTACTGCTGGAATGTGCCCATGGGACTGAGCACAGAGACACCTAATACCCTCTGCAGGACAGTCCATTCTTTACCCCCCACTCTCACAATCCCTTTCATATGCCAGGCAGGAGTGACATAAAATAATAATCTCCCACTGCGATTGGGGGCCCCTCAGTGCAATGGTGTGACAACCGGGGTTTTTGGCAGCAGAATATTTCTTGGATGGGGTTAAGAGAATAATGACATTATGGCTACACATGTAGGGGTCGCCAATCTTTTTTTTACCGCGAGAGCTACTTTTACCAAGAATTTATCTTTTCTCATGCTTTCGGTAGGAAGTTGATGGTGTTCATCACACAAATACGTATTCGTGAAATTAAATACAAAATGACAGATCTCTTGTAAGCTTTCGCTACTAGTAGCTCGCATTCGACATGCTGGCAACCGCTGACATAGAATGTGGGGCGTCTTTAAGACATCATTTCCTGGCAGGTGATGGGGAATCTGAGGTACCAGATGAAAGCATCAGGATCTTGCCAATAATGTTCAGCAAACAGGAAGTGAGGTAATATTTAGTTCTGGGGTAGGACCAATGGTGTTATCAGGATGCCATTCAGGGGTGGGTGCTTGGGACCCCTGGGGGGGGGTGGCTGTTTTCCATCGTTAGGGTGGGCAAAAGATTGACTTGCAGAGGTGGTTGGTTCAGGTCCAGAGAGTAAAGACACCCCAGTGTCTTTCACTAAGGACGGACCCCATCTCACTTACAGGTTCCTCCTGTCCTCCTGGATAAGCAATTCTCAGACTTCACACCTGACATCACGCCCATTATCCTGGCAGCGCATACCAATAACTACGAGATCATCAAGCTGCTGGTGCAGAAAGGCGTGTCGGTGCCGCAGCCACACGAGGTTCGCTGCAACTGCGTGGAGTGCGTGTCCAGCTCAGATGTGGACAGCCTGCGCCATTCCCGCTCCCGCCTCAACATATACCGAGCGCTGGCCAGCCCCTCTCTCATCGCCCTCTCCAGCGAGGACCCCTTCCTCACTGCCTTCCAGCTCAGCTGGGAGCTGCAGGAGCTCAGCAAAGTGGAGAACGAGTTCAAGCAGGAGTACGAGGAGCTGTCGCAGCAGTGCAAGCGCTTCGCTAAGGACCTTCTGGACCAGACGCGTAGCTCTCGTGAGCTGGAGCTGATCCTCAACTTCCGCGACGATGCCAATCTGCTGGACGAGGAGAACACCAACGACCTGGCCCGCCTGAAACTGGCTATCAAGTATCACCAGAAGGAGGTGAGATGCTGGGCTTTTTTGTGTTTATCTTTGGAGCTGGTGCTAGGAACCTGTTGAACCATGTAAGGGTCCCAAGTGAGATGCTCCAGATGGGATCACTGTCATATGTTGCTTAACCTGGATTGCCCTTTGTAGGACGGGTCTTAGCACCAAAATGGCCCAAAGTCCGTATAGCCCAATGGAAAAGAAGGATGTTCATCTCAACCAAATAGATCACAAATCAACCCTAACCCTAACCCAGGTTCATTCAATCCAAAGTATCATCTAATTTTTTTTTCCCCGTTTTTCCATTTCTCTTTTTCCCCTCTTTAAAATGATGTTTTAACCCCTTTACATTTTAGGAAAAGCTCTTCGTCTTCTCTGAAGGGAAGAAACACTTTAGGATGATTGCTAATTAGTCGGCAGAAGCTCATCTGTGGTTTCCTGGTGTGATAAATTTCAGTGCTAAAAGCCCCATCACAGATAGTCGCTGTTGAGGTTTCGCTTACCTTATTTCTGGTTGGATGCTAGCTTTGTTTTAAGGATCATTTTCTCCTTGGTTGTTCATTGATTAATTGAGGAACTGGTAATTAACTCAACAGTGTATTACATATTTGTGTATTATTCTCAGGGTTGGCCAGAAAGTGGGAGGAAGGGAAAGACTTTCAGGGGGCCCAGTCACTAGGGGGAGTCCCTAAGTGTGTGAGCGTGGGTAATGGTGTTTTTGTTTTGGAGAAGGGGGTAGGCATCCGGTAGAACTTTATAAGGGCTCGGCCATGTCTTTCTGTAGCCCTGATTATACCACAGTGTTACCAATACCAGGGCCCATCTCTAGAGGGCGCCTCTCTCGGAACGAAGTGCATTGACGCACCTGTAGCAGGCCACAAACAGGGAGAGGTTTCCAGTTCTTCATGAGAATATAGAGCCAAGCAAAACAGGAACTGAGCCCTGATACTCCAGGGCTACATTAGCAGCGATGGTTGGCCCCCTCACTTGCGGTTGCCCTCCCTAACCCCCTCCCCCCAGGAATGCCCCCTATGTGAGACTGATGGAGCATCATTCATTAAGAGCTGCTCTGATCCCCTACTCCTAGTGGGGCATTCCATTAAAACCCCCTTTTCCTGAATTCATGTACCAGTTAGGCTACATCAGGAAGGTTAGTTCTGTGATGTCATCATGTTATCTTAGTGTTATTGATGATTTATTGTAATTTTTTAGTTCTTCATAATGCTGTTGCTATTTGTTTTTAATATATGAATTTTGTACTACTGCATTACATGTAGGAAGGTAATGTGGAGTATGGTAATAGTGTGCTTGCTTGTAGTATGGATTAGTGTATGTGGGTAATGTATTTGTAATATGAATATTTTTAGGAAGGTAGTGAAGTTTTATGTAGTGTAGTTTGGACTGAGTAGGTTGTGTACTTATCTGTAGGATGAAATGGTGTGGATTGGTAGTATACTTGTCTATGTGGATTGGTCTAGGTAGGTAGTGCACTTGTCTATCTGGATTGGTCTAGATAGGCAGTGTACTGTACTTGTCTATGTGGATTGGTCTAGGTAGGCAGTGTACTTGTCTGTAGTGTGGATTGGTCTAGTTAGGCAGTGTACTTGTCTGTAGTGTGGATTGGTCTAGGTAGGCAGTGTACTTGTCTATGTGGATTGGTCTAGGTAGGAAGTGTACTTGTCTATATGGATTAGTCTAGGTAGGCAGTGTACTTGTCTGTAGTGTGGATTGGTGGACAAAAAGGTAAGAAAAATAACTCAATAACTGAAAGGGTGTCTTGTTTGAAGATTCATTGGCGTTTTTATCTCTTTTCTTCTTCACTCAGGGCTCATTTTAGCACCAAATCTGTCCTCTGCTGTGTTTGTTTGAACTGGTGACTGTACATATTCCGTAAGTGTCAGTGTCATCGCAGAGGCAAGATTGCCTGACTTCACTTCCAAGTCTTTTCATTTTGTGACACAAGGCAGTTTCCTTGGTGAAACAGCATTTCCTTTCACCTTAGGATGAGAGAAAGGAATTGTGTTTTACTGATACTGGAACTGGTGTGAATTTAATAAAGGCTATACCAACTGAAGACAGCTACTGCCTGTTGTCACAGGCATCTCAGAGATGCTGATATCAGACCAATCCAGGAGCCTGTAACATTTACAATGGTTGCTGCTGCCCCCCTCTGTAAAGGACTGGTATTACAGCCTTCATGCAGTCAGAGGTTTTGCTTTGTCAATCAAAATATTATGTAAACCCAGGTGTTGGTTTTATTTTACAGACATATGTTTGTTTTCTGTTATCTTGGGGATAAGGGGTTGACTGAATGTCCTGGTTATGTCTTTTTGGAAATTAAGAATGTAGAGAGGTGTTTGCCAGACAGCTGTGTCATCTGTGTTCAGGTAGTATACGCTTGAGCAATCTGGGTGAAATTGCCTTTTATAATTATCTTACTGCGAATGAGTCCATCCCCCCCCCACCCTTACCGACACCTACCTCACTGTGACTTGGGAGGAATCTCCACACGACTTTGTTCCCATGACGACGGCGAGCCCAGTCAGTTTAGCTGCAGTGCTCTCTCTTCTCCTTCACTCCCCTCAGGGCCCCCACCCCATGTGTTATGGGGGCGGCCACCCCAGTGCCCCTCACTTGTCAAAAGTGTCCGCACCATGTGACTTAGTGAATGTGGCCAGTTGTGTGACAGACTACCGATGCATCAGGCAGCGAAACACTTAAGGAGCTTTTGCAGATGGACACCCCAGGATGGAATTGTTGTCGTTCTCTTAAGTCGCATCTGCTGCTGTCTCAGCTGAATAACTTCAGTGTAAGTACTAAAGTTTAAAAAAGGTCTTATTAAGGGAATCTGGTTTGATCTGAAGGATACCCGGCAGATAGGTACGGTAATATGTGACTATATTGTCGCTGTCTGATGAAAACTCTGCATACTTACTTCATGACTGTGATTGTTTAGTACAGATGGCATGCACCCATTCTCCTGTCTATTGATAGTGTTTAACGTCTAACTGACCAATGAAAACATGTTTTACGAAGTCATCTGTTTCACTAGTACAGTATTTAAGTTTGTACTATTTAACATGGTAACACTTTTTGTGAATGTCAATAAGAATCTATGAGCATGTAATACATTATAATGCATTCGTAAAGCATTATGAACATGGCTGAAATATTAATAAAAAGGCATAACACATTATAGCTGTGTTTATTATGCATTATTAATGCTTTATGTAGCTACCTTCACAATGTAGTACAAAGCATCCTTAATGCTTGTAATGACTATTATAATGCATTATGTAGGTATCTATAGTACATTATAGATGAGAGCTTTAATGGAGCTTATGAATTATTATAATCAACACTATAATTCCTTATGACTGTCAATAGAAGATGCTGTAATGCTTTATTAATTCTTACACCGACCATTATAATGCATTAGGAAGGTATACATAAAGCATCGTAGAGAAAAGTGTGACCGTTAACATTTTGTACTCTTGATGGTCATTTGTGTGGATTACTATATATAGCTAATTTTCACAATTTAATATTTATAACTAGATACCTAGCCAGCTCACTTCATTAATTGTGAATATAAAGTGAGATTAGTTAGTATCTTATTTATTCTGATATACTTACCTTGCTGACAGCGAGTGTCCATTTAAAACGTTAAACCGTTCACTAATGGCTGTGTAAAGATCTGCTTACATAAGTTTCTGAGACAATGTGTTTTTCATGCTCTTGCACTATTGGAGTGTTGGAGATGCGTGTTTTTCATTAGATGCCTATGTTACGCAGTTAAGTAGGTTTTTATGTTTTGAGCAGGCAGAATATTAAATAAAAAAAATATTTTCTTATTTGGAGGTAAACAGCTTTTAGAAATATGATATTCTGGAGCAAAATCTATAAGTCATCTGGCAGCTGGTCCACTTCAGGGTGTTTCATTAAAAATGAGTGTGGGAGGGGTCAGCGATTACTAAATATCCCAAAGGATGGTGGGAAATTGCCTAACATCCGTGTTAGCTGTAGATTAAAAATTAAATCTAACGCCTGTTTAGACAGTGCTGGATTCTTACGTGTTACGTCAGCAAACATTTGTGATGTGGAAATATAAAAATATAAATTTAAAATATAAACAAGTTAGCTTGTGTAAAGATGTGTTATTTGCATGAAAAGAAGCTACAGCAGGTAAAAGGAAATGTTACCCTACTGTGAACCCATAGCAAGAAACCCGAATGACGACCACATGGGTCTGCATGGCTTGGTAACAGAGTCACATCTGTATACATTTCATGCCTGGCTTTGAATTAAGCCAAAGAATTAACTGTCACCCCTTTTATCCCATGTCTTTGACTGTCACAGTTGATATTTCAATGGCTGATAAGTTTAACACAAGAGAACCGAAGTACTGTATACATCATGTGAGTCACGCGTGTAACTCCTTCAGTTCCCATGGAAGTTTTTAAGCCATGGTGTTAAGTTCATTGGAAAATCAGTGCTGTGCTATAATCTGTTCAGGCATGACAAAATAGAAAACAGCCGCCATTAACTCGACAAACTGTAAATTACGACTTTCCCGCCGTAAACCAAGTTTCAGTTCTTGTTAGAAGTGATTATTTACTGTGCCGGTAATGAGCTTTATTAAACATCCACAGTGTCCAGCAAATACAGAACGGCAGAGAAATGGTGGTAAAGTAGGCGGGAAGATCCATTTCTCCGACTGGCTAATGGAGTTTGAGAAGCCGTTAGGCCTTAGCCGTTTGTTCAGATGTTAATTTAAGCGAAGAAAGAATGTCAAAGTGTACTCATAACCCATTTGCTGTGTGTGGCTTTGCCCCCTGACAGGGAGCTGGCAGAGGTTCTGTAAGAATAAACGCCTGGTTAGCTGAGCATTGTGTTTGCTCTGTGGCTGTGTGACGGTGGCTTGCTCTTCTGTATTTCATGCAGGGCGTAGCAGAAGAGATTAATACGCAGGAAATAAGTTTTTGCCCCCTAAGGTTGTGTTTCTCAGCCTGACCACTGGCTTTCATGAAAATCTTCAGTAGTTTAGCTGTCGTTTGCATTCTGAATGTCACCATAATGTCCTGCAGAGTGTGGTGTTTGTGAAGCCGCTTTCTGGAGGTAAAAGCATGGGATACGGCCACAAAATGGCTCGTACTGCCATTTGCGATCTCAAGTCTTCCATCGTGATGCATTTTACATTGATTTGCTGTGGGTGCAAATTCAGACATCTGTTTTTTGTTTTTCTTTTGAGATTATTACAGTTAAAATGTGTGGCATTTCAGATCAACATGACGCAACAGCAGGAGCATAGGCAGGGGTGTAGTAAAATGAGTTACTAATGGATGTGAAGTAACCGGGAGCTATTATGGGATGTTCTGAATGCCATTTAAAGCACAAAGATTTGATCTGCACTAAGCTTGAATTTAATTGAGTTGCGAATTGCGATGGTATATTTTTTCACTGACCCGGGGGGGTCCTTGCTGTATATTTTGCCAACCAGGGGGGTACCCTTCATCATTTTGCAGACCGGGGATTGGCTCCCCATTGGTATATTTTGCTGATCGCGATCGATCAGTTGATTAAAGCATTATCGATTAATCATCCTGTGATTGACCTAGAAATACGCCATGATCGACAGATCAGCCACCACTGTTTTTAAGTTATTCATAATGCAGATTCAAGAGGGAGGGTTCCTAAAATGCCTGTCCTAATCACCAGCCTAAATTAAGACATGAACCTCACAGATCATAGGTTAGCAGTGTCATTTCATCTCTCCATCACCTCCCCCTTGGTGTTCCATCCAGCGACTCCAAGCCAATGAAAATCTAACCATATGTAGAACCATTTTTGCCAAAAGAAATGCATAAAACATCAAATAGAATTAACATACTTCTGTTACTTACTGGCCATAGCCCAGTCCATAGCAAAGCTGCAGCAGATCTTAAACACAAACATATGTGCTTGGAATCTCTCACTCAAGGCGTACAGATGGGAAATAGGACTGGCTGATGACATCGTGACTTTAATAACCTGGTTTGCAGTGGTTGCCCATGTAGCTGTAGAAATAAATGGTTCAGCCCACATTGAAACGCGGGTGGCCTGACTGGGAAAAGCGATGGGCTTCTCAGAAGCGTGTGCTGGCTTGAAGCTAAACTGGAAGGAACTTCCCCAGCAAGTTCCACGTGGTTCCACACAAGCAGAACCGAGTAGCAGGAGTCACATTGTGCCATGTTCTAGGTGATGCCATGTTCTAGGCGATAACTATTGCTGATGTATCTGACACAGGTGATAGGTGACAGGTGAAAACGCCTCTTTTATCTCCGCCTGTCAGGTTGAAAAAAACGCTTGATGTTGATTTGAAAAGAGAACCTGTCAAGGGGTGAATTCTGTTCATTAAATCGGTGAATTGTAGGGACTGACTTATGAAAGTAAGAGAATGTGAAAGGACTTTTATTCCCACGAATTCCACCTTTCTCTACATAATCACTCGATAAAATGCCAAGACCTGATTCTCACTGACCTCCTGTTCCTTAGCATTTTTTGTTTACTGTTCCTTTCAACCTACAGTTTGTGGCTCAACCCAACTGTCAACAGCTGCTCGCGTCGCGGTGGTACGACGAGTTTCCTGGCTGGAGACGCCGGCACTGGGGGGGGAAGTTCCTCACCTGTGTCTTCATCGGCCTCCTGTTTCCACTCTTCTCCCTCTTCTACCTGATTGCCCCCAAGAGCCGCTACGGTCTTTTCATCCGCAAGCCCTTCATCAAGTTCATCTGCCATACAGCTTCCTACCTGACCTTCCTCTTCCTCCTTCTGCTGGCCTCCCAGCACATCGTGTCCACAGAGCCCAACCGCCAGGGGCCGGCACCCACCGCCGTGGAATGGATGATCTTACCCTGGGTCCTAGGTAATGGCAGGTGGCTGGCGCTGTGACTCGAGTAGGTAGAAGCAGCAGACCATCACGGTCTAGCTTACAGTGAGATTTGGGCTGTTCCTTTGGTGGGTATTCAATGTTCTAAAGCAGTACTCAGTGCTCTAATGCAGCACCCAGTGTTCTAAAGCAGCACCCAATGTTGTAAAGCAATACTCACTGTTCTAATTCAGTACCCAATGTTCTAAAGCAGTACTCACTGTGCTAATGCAGTACCCAATGTTCTAAAGCAGTACTCACTTTTCTAAAGGGTACTCAATTATTTTCCCCCGAGGTCCAAAATCTATCAGCGGGCAAGATCTTATTGTGTTTTGGTCCAGATGTGGACTGGAGTCTGCCATTTGAGTACCCCTCTTTGGAAGGGCATAAACCGTAACTCCCCAAAAGTGCATGACAACTGAATGCCATTTCCTAACCATATATATGGGAGGATGTAAAGTTAGTACTGGCAACCTCTACATTTGGGAGGACACATGAGAACACAGAAAGAAAGGTCTGAGGAATTACACCAAATTCTTTCTAATCCCTGCGCTGCCTAATAAAAGTAAGCATATCTAGCAGAAGGGGATGACAGATATCAGATGTGAACTTTAAACGCTCCTTCGCATGTGCAGTGCATTAGCTGGTGCTAATTAAACATATCTGCTGTTGTTCTACTTGAATTTGTATTTGTATTGAGATTTTAAAGAACATCCACCATCCACATAGTTGAAATCATGTTTTTAGGGCTAGAAGTCACATCTTTGGTGATGGTGATTGGTGATCGTTCTTGTTATTCTCCTTCCCACATGCAGGTTTCATCTGGACAGAGATCAAACAGATGTGGGACGGTGGGCTCCAGGACTACATCCACGACTGGTGGAACCTCATGGACTTTGTCATGAACTCTCTCTACCTGGCAACCATCTCCCTGAAGATTGTTGCATTCATGAAGGTGAGAGGACACTGAGGAACCAAGGATTGCACTCTTGCCAGATAGAAAATGCTTTGCATGCCGTCTCATAGCCTAATTTTCCTCTTTTTCTTCAGTTTACTTGAAGATTCGGTTTGCTTATTGAATGTAACTCATTTGGCATGCAGTGTATTGTGTTTATATATTTGTAAATAGTGTATTTAGTCATCAAATGCTGGAATGAAGTAGGGCTGTTGGGAAAGGCTGCCCTTTCTGTTTGCTGCCTCTTTCTCCTGGTTTTGAGAGGCAGACTGGGCAATTATCTGTATTTCCTTTTGATCGTTTCTTTATAAGTTATTTAGTTTTATGTTCTCAGTGTTTTTGTTTATTTTCCCACCATCCTGTGCCTGCACATTTCTACAAATAACTAAGCTGGTTACTTGTACCATTGTGTTTTGTGGTACTGTTGTATGTGTTGTACTATCGTGTTGTGTGGTAGTATTGTGTTGTACTATCGTGTTGTGTGGTAGTATTGTGTTGTACTATCATGTTGTGTGGTAGTATTGTGTTGTTCTATCGTGTTGTGTGCCCCTTTCCTCCGTGTTGATGTCAGACCTAGACTGGCCCCTTTGATCAGATGGATAATGGCAGTCTGTCCTCTCTGTAACCCAAGTTAAACTGGTGCTCTGTCCCCCTGCTCCATCCGACTCCTCACCAGTGCCATTGCGTTCCTTTTCTGCCCCCCTTCAGTACAGCGGCTGCAAGCCCAGGGACAACTGGGAGATGTGGCACCCCACGCTGGTGGCGGAGGCCGTGTTTGCCATCGCTAACATTTTCAGCTCGCTGCGGCTCATCTCGCTGTTCACGGCCAACTCGCACCTGGGCCCGCTGCAGATCTCGCTGGGCCGCATGCTGCTGGACATCCTCAAGTTCCTCTTCATCTATTGCCTGGTGCTGCTGGCCTTTGCCAACGGCCTCAATCAGCTCTACTTCTACTACGAGACACAGGGCAGCGACGAACCCAAACCCTGCAAGGGCATCCGCTGCGAGAAGCAGAACAACGCCTTCTCAACGTAAACTTACATTTATATTCGCCCGTAATCATTGGGTGACTGAGCTTGGATTCAGCATGCATGGCTAATTATTGCTCGATTTAATGCGGCAATGGTCTGTTAAACCAGACTACGATGTACAGAGCATGGTAATCTTACTCACTGTGGCTCCCCTCCAAAGCTTCATATCTTCCTGTTGAGAACACAATCCATGGAATGCAGATATGCTAAAGCCTTAAAGCAGTCTGAATCCTTTCAGTTAGACATGGTGAATAACAGTGTGTGCGCCTACAGTGAACCCTTGAGGCAATTTAATATTGGTTGGTTGTAACCCAACAGTTGACTGTAAAACATGCAGCATTGTGGAGGTTTTCGATGGTGTGACTTAACACCAGAAGCCCCAGGAAGCAGAACATCCAAATAAGGAGCTCTGCATTCACTGGTTGGATAGCTTTGGATATATGCTGTAAAAATGGATGAAAATGGATACAGTTATACAGTAATCTTTTGTGAGTTTACTCACTGAAACTCTCAACAAACTGCCTCTTTTCCTGTTTCTCCTTAGGTTGTTCGAGACCCTGCAGTCTCTCTTTTGGTCAATTTTTGGTTTGATCAGCCTCTATGTGACCAATGTCGGACCCGACCACAAGTTCACCGAGTTTGTGGGTGCCACAATGTTCGGCACCTACAACATCATCTCTCTTGTGGTTCTCCTCAACATGCTGATAGCGATGATGAACAACTCGTACCAGCACATCGCTGTGAGTCTTTATGACCATATATTTCCCTTTCCCACCCACTCAGTCTCTCCCATCTATCACTTGTGGGAGCAATATACATAATGGATAAAAGCCGTTAGTTAAAATTTTTAAAGCTTTTTGTTACTGGTGACATGAAATGTCTGTGGAACAAGGTTGAATTGTATTATACTTTCTGTCAGAAATGTCATCCTTGTGGTTTGATATAATTTCTGTGTGAATGTGCTGTTCTATTGAGTTTATGATGGTCTCATACATCTGTAGGATCATGCAGACATTGAATGGAAATTTGCAAGAACGAAGCTGTGGATGAGTTACTTTGAAGAAGGAGGGACGTTGCCATCTCCTTTCAATATCATCCCCAGCCCAAAGTCCGTGTGGTACCTCATCAAGTGGATAAAGAAGCACGTCTTCAAACGGACTAAGTCAAAAAGACCCGAAACCATTGGAACCCTCGGGGTGAGACCTAATCTTCAATGCAGAGTGTCTGTCAGCAATAAAATGAATGCTCTCCTGGCATCAAACTTTAAAACAGTACGATGTAACTGAACTTGTATCTAGTTTATGTGAAGTTGCACTGGTTAAACTCCTTTTTCTGGTTTGACTTACTCTGGCGTTTTAGCCAACGCTTGTCATGCGAAATGTAAAAGCAACCAAAGCTTGTTCCAGCTCCACGGGGCCAAAGTGCATGGAGACAAATAAGTAGCAGACAACAGCCAGCTTTGATGCAATATGATTTCATACCCTTGGCTTGGCTGCCCTCCATTTGCATGAAAGGGAGACATCAGCCGAGCTAATCACGGTGTCAACTTCTACCCCCCCCCTTACAGAGACGTGCTGCGGAGAACCTCAGATTAAACCACCAGTACCAGGTAACGTTGGGCTCCATCTGGGCAAAGCTTCCCGGTTGTGTGGGACTCGCATCAAACGCCTGTGTGAGAAACTGTCGCTCAACTTTCGCAGGAGGTGCTGAGGAACCTAGTGAAGAGATATGTGGCAGCCATGATCAGAGATGCCAAGACGGAGGAGGGGCTGACTGAGGAGAACTTCAAGGTGAGGTCCTCCGACATCTCCACCAGCTTCAGAGACGCTGCAGGCAGTTTAGTCAGAGATCCATGCTGCAGTCTCTATTTGAGTCTAATTCATTCCTCATCGGGGGGCGGTGAGGGAGGGACCACCAATGAAACACCTTGTCTGATTTGTACTGTGTCAATAAAACAAAATAACAATAAAACCTATAATCACTTATCACCTGAGTGATGGATTTACTGTTTATTAATTCCATTAAAATGTCCTGCTGTAAAAATGGCCTAATTGTGATCTTCTTCACCACTGTAAATAAAGGTCATAGCCAAGCAACTAAATCAAGGACCACAAGGAGATTTTTTGTTTGTAAATTTCATGCGTGATCTTCTCCTTTGTTCATAATTTGTCTCGAGACCAGCCACTGAGCTAAGATGTATCAAACCATATTTCTCAAGATATGTTCTTTGCAGGGTTGGGACCATTCCAGAATGCATTCCTCAATTCAAATCCAAATCAGAAAATGGAATTGTAGTTGGGATTGGAAAATAATTACGGGGAACAGAATTGGAATTGAATCCGAATTTCAGAGAGATTTAAATTCCAACTCCCGTTTCCATTTCCTGATTTGGATTGGAATTGATGAGTTAATTCAGGAATGGCTCCACCCCTGGTTCTTTGGGCTCGGGCTGTTTCATCATACTATCAACATTTATATAGTTTAAAATATTTGTTCCTGTCCTCGCTGAGAGCCAGCGGATTTTTCTAACCAAATACTTATAAAACAATATATTATTTTCATAGTTTATAACAGGAAGTGTAATAAGATCTCCCATTAAATTGAGCATAGATTTTACTGTATTAAATCCAACTGATTTATCAAATGAGATGAGAGAAATAAGTTGGTACTTTTTTTGATCCCCGGAGGGAAAATTAGGATTTATTCAGAAATAACACTTCATTAAACTGCTGTTGGTATCTTTTCTCTTTTCCCTCATCTTTCAGGAACTGAAGCAAGACATTTCCAGCTTTCGCTATGAGGTTCTGGGCATGATGAAAGGCCATGGGTCTAAGGGGAGTACCGCCGCGTCAAGCCTCACCTACCCTGACCACTCCCTCAAATACACACCGGCGCCCTCTGGGGGCCAGCAGAAGAATAAGCTCAACTTGTTTGACGTCACCAACATGCTGAAGCAGAACCCAGCTGGGTCCAGATCACCGGAAGCCTTCAACGGTTTGGCCAATGGGTCACTCCTCCTTCCTGCTGAGGGCCCCTCAACATCCACTTCCTCTGCCCTACACAGGAAAGACTTCCCCAAGAATATTTCTGACTTCAGTCTGTATCAGAGGCGCCGCCGGGGTGGAAATTTAGGACACACCCCAAGCAAGATCTACTCTGTCTCTGAAGAGGTGGACGAATTGGACCCGGAGCAGCCGGGTCACGGCAGGAAGCAGGCAGAGCATTCGGGGCCAGTAGCTGGAAAGGAGTTGCTGGGTAAAGTGTCCAGGTACCAGGATGAGAAGGAGGGGGAGGGTAATCAAGAAGAGGATGAGTGTGAGAAGAGTGAAGATGGAGAGGAGGAGAAAGGGGAGGAGGACTTGGGAGCAGAAGGACATGAGCATAGGTTCCTCCAGAAACAGGTCAGGGAGGATGACAATGACTCATTTTTGTCAACAGAGACGTAGCTTTGTCTGTGCGCCAGATCAAACTGAAATGTGCCTGAGCGACAATCAAACGTGGTGTGTGAAGGAGCTGCTTCCCGTTGGGGTGGAATAGGGTGCAGGGTGCGTGTTTCAGCTGGAGCAGAGGTCTTAGACAAAGAACTGAGAAACACCTTCTCCTAGCAAGGCGGGGGGTGCCTCCTGTTCGTGAAGGGGGCAAGTTGCAACCAAACGCGGGCTACTAGCCCCTTCTGGGATCTCCCTGACAGACTCACCTGATGGTGAGCAGACCGACTACCTGAACAAAACCCCTCGCTCTCCATCTCCCTATTCACTGATGAAAGAATCTACTAGAACACAGCAGATGTTCCTGTGTTTTCAGGTGCTGGGTGTTGCTGTTTTATTTATTTTTTTTGCATGGATATTTTATATGAATCAGCACACAAAGCATCAGATTGTGTCACAAAAAAACGATTTACATGCACTTTGAGGACAGTTGGACATTTCGTGCTTTTTTTTTTTCTTCTCTATGGAGCGAGAAAGACATACCATCGTAATTCTTTTTTCATAGCCCCCAGCTTGTCTAGCTAGTGCCTGTGACATCCCCAGAGCCCGTACTCCGCCTTACTGAGTTTACTTTAGCACTTTACACCGGGTGTCGTTCAGAGGATCGGACAGACTTCTTAAGGCAGAGTATTTTTAATTTGACCCTTTCTATGCAAAATAAAAACTGGACCCCCGGACGACTTCCATCCCTCTCATTCGCACTTTGTATCACAGGCTGAGGGGTGTGCCTCTATTTCAGCACGACAGAACCAGATGTGCTAAACCACCGCCTATCCTTGTACCAAGGGCACAAACCTTGCTCCTCTCCTCAGTGCTGTTGAAGTTACATACCCTGACCTGTATTCCAAGCACAGTTAATTAGCAGTCCATCAGTATGCCCTTTTCAAATTCTCATTAAACCATATTGCAATTGTGTACTAAATGGATTATGTATTACGTGATAAAATACATGTATCTGATATTAATTACAGGTATATGTTTTTTTTAATATGTTCTACTTTTAAAAGTACCATTTAATCTGTTATCAGTATCTAAATAAATATGCTTATTTATTGTTATATAGTTGCTTTTTAACATGTTTAACAAAGTATATTGCTAAAACACAAATTCCAAAGGAACTGGTTGTCTTCATGGTAACTATGGCAACATGAGGTTAAAGCTTGTGTTACTTATTTAATCACATCTAATCACTGGGTGCTTTAAAAGGCTTTGTAGTGTTTTTCTCCCTTCAATTAAGGATGTGAGTCCAGGTTGATGTTCAGGCTTTTATGGTGCTGAAAATTGATTTTCTTCCCACCTACCAGGTTTTTTTTGTCATTTTACCTTCGGCTAACATTTTGTTATGTAAAAATATGTTAATAGGTGGGAATGAGCGTACTTACCATTCAGGGATCTGTTAAGAGTCGCTCTGAGATCAGGGATTCATTTAAATTTGTCACCGCTTTCCGCACTGTTGAATATGTCTCCTCATTTCCAGCAAAACTCTGGGGCTTTTTTTCCACGAAGATGGGAAAGAGCAGCACATGAGAAAAACAAATGTACTTAAAGGTGTTCTAAGTGGTGCCCCAGCCCCGGGGAGGGGCGGGAAGGTTTCTCAGAGATATACTTGAGCTTTAAACAGACAACCCACCGGACACATCACCATCAATGCCCAAGTTAGTTTTCAAAAAAAAAATCTTGTGGGTATCATACTTAAATACCCCCACCTGTGAGTCCATAATTAAGGACAGAAGTTCCGTGGCTTTGCCTAGGGGCCTCTGAACTGGACTGTCTGTAGGGCTAATGTTGGGTCCAACCATGGGTGTGTTGCATGGTTCATTGTTTCTCAAAGGGGTCCTTGGGGACTGTGTGGCTGGGGGTTGGGAGGGAGTTAAAATATAGACTGCCTGAAGGTTCCCCAGAACCGGGGAGGGAAACACTGGTATAGCTGGCAAACATTTTAAGAATGGCATCAATAGCATGTCTTCCTCCACAGTAACCCATGTTTCCCCTGCTGACTGAGGACATTTTCAATTTGTCTTTCTCCACAGGGTATGGTGTCTGTCTTGGACTCTCTGAGGCAAAAGCCATCTGTTGCACACTGCGATTTTCTTTTTGGCGTCAGTGCCACGATCACCCCCCTCCCGATGTTTGGTCAAAAAAGCAAGGGCACATTCTATCAGGCTCACGGGGGGGCCTTGGAACAATGTAGAGTTATGAATTTCGGATAATTAGGCACAGATAGAGACAGTTGCGAAAGCCATGCATGGCAGGGTATATGAAACAAAAGAGAAATTCAAAATTTATATAATCGCAATCAGTCCTGGCTGTTTTTGTTTGTTGTGATTTGAGGAACCTTCAATGGGTTTCATGCATTATTAACACCCTATGCTCAAATCACCAAAGCATTTTGGCAGTGGCTTGGCTCTCAAATCGTTTACGCAAATTTATCAAACCCTAGCTTTCACAAACTAAGCGGGCATTTAATTGTGCAGGATTAATGTACTGCAGATGCTCTGAGGGGTTTCAAATGGCATGTGTTCCACGTTTGGGGAATGAACACAAACCTTAAGGCTGTAGCCCCACTGATGGGGGTTGTCTAAGGAGCCTACTGTGAGAGGTTTTGTTCAAGGGAACCATAGCAAGCTTGCAACTAATTGTTCATAATTGCAGGATATGTAAGCAAATACAAGCAGCGGATGACAGTTGGAATCGGAATTTACCTCCTTATGGAACAAAGAACAACCTTCAACTCCACTGAATCATGGACTAGCAAACTCATGCCAGAGAGAGCAGAAAATTCAAAATGTTTCTTGCTCAAAATGAGCATTTCTTATATTTCAAGAATTATTTCGTATTTCAAAATTAAAGTGTCCTTCTGATTTGGGAAGTGAGGTTTTAGATGGACTTTTCATGAGCAATGTAGACATAGATCCTTCTGCTGGTGATTCTCTGTTGTCCACCTCCAGGATTTGCCTCTTCACGTTCAACTGAGGCATCTTGCATGGATCTACTCACAAAGAAAAGTAGCCAGTCTGAATTTGTATGGTTATATTTTGTGCCTCACGTTCATGAAATTACTTTGCTATGTATGGAAGCCCGTTTCCGCCACTGGAGAAAAAAATAATATAAAATTTAAGTCGAAATTTCAACTTAGTTATCTCGCTATTTCGAGATAGTATCTCGAAATTTCAACTTAGTTATCTCGTTATTTCGACATACTATCTCGAAATTTCGACTTAGTATCTCGAAACAACTTTCTAACTTTAATAACTTTTCACGGAAGTATGGTGGGGCGTTTTTAATGATAGAATCGTGTTGTCCCTTCCAGAACGGTGCCACATCTTCTGTTATTCTGAGTCAAAAAATTTCCATCATCAACTATTTTTCATCCACGATGAACTTCCACATTTTTCTGTGACTCTTCCAAAAGATATTGGATGTATTTCTTATGCAGTTTGGGTCACAAATCACATAGAGCGGATATGATCTCATTTATCAGTTTCTTAGAAATTAGTTTCTGACAATGGTCATGAACAAAGTGTTTTTTTTCTTTGTAGACCACCCTCTCATTGACTTTCCAGGACAGCTCTCCCCCCTTGAGTGCTGGAGGTCCAGAAGAAGAAAGCAATTTCTGTAGCTACTGTGGAAACGCACAAAGTTAGATCATCTCAGCAACTGAATAGTTTGGATGTGTCAGAGATGATGTGCACCATCACTTAATAGCTATTATCTGAACTGTGAAAACATGTGGTACACAGGAAGTGATGCAATATAAATGTGATGTGTACAGGAAGTGGTACCATATACACATGTCTTTCTGTACAGGAAGATGCTGTATATAGATCATGTACTGTACAGGAAGTTGGGCCTTATACATTTGCAGTTCTGAATAGGAAGTAGAGCTGCATACAGGTAATTTTCTGTACAGGAAGAACATATGGCAGCAAAAGAAAAGAAACCTGTGTCATTGAAAAATTGATAAAAATAGAGAGAGACAATCCAGGAAGATATTGAGGATCTCTGAATTAGAATTTGAAGATGTTCGCTATTAATTATATTCATTTTGAATCTGTTTCCAGCTCTTGGATAGTAGTCCAATTATCGCCAAATGAGGAAATGTTCTTGTTCATCACCACTCCACTTCCATTTATTCTGTAATCTCTGTTGCTACGTAAATGAACACTAATAGCACACAATTAATGAACATTAATGAGCATAATCGCAGTTTGAATTTTTATATATAGTGTCATTCTCCGAAGTGCTTAACAAAACAAAACAAACATGGTATGTTCGCAGAAGCAACAGTAGGCAACAGTAAGAATAGTATAGCAGTAAAATTGAAATGGGAAAAAAACAGAAGATAAGAATGGGGATGTCATTAAAAACTCCCATAGTTACAGGGGGAAAGGGGGGGGTCCCAGTCCAGCAAGCTGCTCAGCCTCCCCAGACCTGCCACCCCTATGGATTTATTAAAAGGCCAACCTGAGGACCTTAAAACAGTCCTTACAGGTTTACGAGTCCCAAACCTTCCGAAGGCGTTTTTCTCCAATTTCTTGAAAATTGCAAAAGTACGAACTGTAAGTTCCAGAGGGAACTGGGCATTGAGTATGGCCATAGGGCTGTATACTTGAAGTTCAAACACCCCCAATGTTTGTTTTTTATTCAACCACTAGAGGGAGCACAAAACTTAGTGATTGGTAACACAGTGTGATCCAGAGGATCAGAACTCATACAGTGACCCCCCCCCCCCACACACACACACACACACACACACGCACTCGCCCCATACAGGACTCACCTTGTAGCCAAATGAATGATGTCTCCACATAGTTTCTTTGAAATGCTTCCATCTGTCCTGGATATGCTGGTAGGCTGATCGTTTTCTCAGTTCTAGACGACAAGTTACATTTTCTATGTTCATGGAAAAAAAACTGTGACGGAGTACAGCAGTTTTGTCAACTCTAATCCTCAAATACTAATGATAATTAATGCAAAATCAACCATTACCAAGCTGTTTTTTTTTCTCATGGTGGTGGCCTTATACCATGTTCCCTAGCAAAACTGGGGGCCGAGGTTGTGAAAGCGAGTTACTGTATTCATTCTTCCTCCCTGGGGGAGAGTAAGCCATGGCATACAGCAACATGTGCATCTCCAAACTAATTAGCCCCCAGGCACTAGTTTGCAGATTCTTTTCCCACATGCCCCATATTTGGGTATCCCCGGGGGGAGAAATCTGCCTGCCTTACCTGGGAAGCTGAGATCCGTAAGATGCGTACACGTGCAGAAAGGATAGATCAGCTGTTGAATAGGGGCATGCAAATTTCAGCTCTGGGTGTCTGAGCTTTCCCTGGACCTCAAGGAGGGGGAGGTGGTATAGGGAGCAGGCTGGGGTCCCCTCCCCCGATTACACACACAAATACACACACACACACCACTCCTCCCACTTCCATGGAACACTTGTGGTATATAAACTTTGTGTAAGGAGGCCGGTTCCCATTTTTCCTCCTTATTGGGGTGAGGATGGAGTTCGTCTTTGCCTTTCTCTGGGTGCTGCTGGCTCTCTCCGGCCTGGACCGGGTCGAGTCCTCCGCTTACGACAAGATTGTGACCCACAGCCGCATCCGTGCAAAGGAGAAGGGGTAAGGAGCACATGGAGCAGGAAAGCATAGCATGCTACCGCCTTGAAGGATGTTTCCGTGTCAAACTGTGTTCCAGAAAACCTGGAGAACTGAAGGTGGACTCTGACCCTAATGATCTGGGTTAAGAAATGCATTTTCCTTTAAACCTTTACTTTTAATTTATAGCTTTAGGTCTGGGAAACATTTTAATAATTCTGAAATCAATTTGAGAACTGATTATTTAACGTTGTGTGAAGATGCTGATTTAATTATATTTTGTGTAACTTGTTTAAGCTGTTTTGTGTACATCCTTATTAATTTTAATAAAACATTCAGTTTAAACATTACATCAGAAGGCTTTGCGATATGAAAATGTCACAAACTTATTTAGTTACAGACATGTTTTTATTCTATGTTCTTGAATATTTCTCACTGGCCATAATTTCCAATTGCGATTCCACCCCCTGAGTTTGATGAGTCATATTAAACTACCAGATTGTTCCACAATACCATAAGGTGGCATCATACTAGAATTAAACTCAATGGCATAATTTAAAGATATTATTTCCCATTCAGGCCAGTGTCTCTCTGATCGTCTTTCCATCAAACCCGTAATCACCTTGGTAATCCTGGCCCCAAAATGCCACCCCCTTCCTCTTCTTTTTTAGACCCAATATGTGTGCCCTGCAGCAGATAATGGGAACCAAAAAGAAATATTTCAGCACCTGCCGGAACTGGTACCAGGGCTCAATCTGTGGGAAGAAGGCGTAAGTGTCTCCGCTTGTGTAAGTGTCCCCAGTACGCTGGGGGATCTTGGTGTGAAAGGTCAATGGGTAAAGGTCAGATGAGGCCTTCGGCAAAGTGGTCAGTGGCATGCTGTCTGCTTGTCGGGTACCTCTGTTCGCCTGTCTTCATGCTGCGGTTCCTTAACTCCAGAGGCTAGTGCTTCAGGGATTGGTCTGTTGCACCCTTAAGCGTGTTGTTTGACATGAATTTGGAGCTAAATAGACCGGCACTTGGTTTCAAGGATCTTGTTACACAGGTAAATGCCAGGAAGGAATGACAGAGAGTTAGAAGACTGCATGGAGGCCGCCTGAGGCAGTAGTCAGTGTTTGCTCTGGCGAAGAGAAAGTTGGACACGTCAGGCGGCCCCTGGATGTCAGGGACACCCCCACTCGAGTGCCCCTACCCACCCGCAACCTATTCCTCTCAGACCTGGAGCCCAGAAAGTGAGAGAGAAAATGTGTGATTATGCAGCAGGAGTAGGAGAGGGACATCGAAAGGTGCCAGGCAAGAACTCGCTGGAGAGTAACATGAAGACAAGAGAGCTGTGGTTGTAGAAGGGAGGGGGGGGGGGCGCTAATTGAATTTTTTATACTTCTGGCTGGGGTGTTGTATGGCACAGAGCTGGTTTTGGCCCTGACATCGAAGAGGGACTGGAGTTTTCTCCGTGGGGTATGACCTAATTGCGGCAGAGAGCCCAGATTGTCCGCTCTGGCTTCGTTGTTCCTTCCCCACTGCTGGAAATTGTAGCGTCCCCCCCACCATCTGGAAGCTAGTGGTTCCTTCCATTATGGTGCTGATGCCGCAATAACCAGTGAATATTAAACAGCAGATGAGGTCACCTGCTTGGCACATGCTCAGTAGTGCCTCCTGAAGCCAGCGTCTGAGAGGGAAGCAGCTCGCTGGTTTACAAAGGCCAGCTCTTCCACTTCGTATATTTATACAATACTGTGCAAAAATCTTAAGTACTCAAAGGAAATATTTATATTTATCTGGGTAATTAGTATGTGTATTTCTTAAGAAAAATTAACATTGCATAATTTAACATTAGGATATATGCAGATTAACAATAGCACAGAATTAATTTCTTCCATTCTCCAAAAAGTCACTGAGACCGTGCTGGATGGCTGGATGAACATCGCTTCAGCTCCCAATCCTCTTCTCAGCGGCACCTCAGGTTAAGGTTAGGGCTGGGTAGGGGTTAAGGTTGCCATGGTGGAATTAGAGTTTTCCTCATAGAAATGAATGGAAAGTCCCCACAAAGATATGATTACAAACCTGTGTGTGTGTGTGTGTGTGTGTGTGTGTGTGTGTGTGTGAACCATTGTCATGCCCCTTCTCACACTGCTCCCCTACTTTTTTGATTTTGTTTTCTATTTGATTTTTACGCACAGTAACAGCTGAAGTGAACTGTGCCCCTTTTGGCCCCCAGAAACGGCCCCTGGCACGTTAAGCCTCTACCACTGCACATCACTGCCGGCTGCTGGCATGCAACTTCTTGTCTCTACTTCCCAGTATGTCTGATCAGCCTCCCACCACCCTCCCCACCTTCTGCTGTCGACCCCTCCCTCTCCTCAGGTAACCCACACATGGAGCTCAAGCTGAACGAGTCTCCGGGTTAAAGTGTCACTCCATCCCTCCACCCATCCTCTGCTTGGTCTACTGTCAGATTCACGCCAACGCTTCCTTCCTCTGGAACTCTGGCCAGTCTTAGTACGACCCCCCTCCCCTCCCCAGCTACTGACGACCTACACACCAGTGGCAGTCTCCCTCCCATACTGGAAGCATTGTTCCTGTACTGGGAAGGAAACATGGCCAACAGCGATTGTGTCTTGTGCTGACCCCCAAGCCCACAATCTCCCTGACACCCCCCCCCCTCAATCTGAGAAGGTAGCTGGCAGTGTAAGTCAAACAATGATGTGCAATGTGGTTTCAACTTCCAACACAATCCCCCATACTCCTACTCTAAGCGTCTCTACAGATGCCTGGTCATTTGAGTTTGCAGTGTTCTAAAATCTTTTCAGTATTTATTTTTTTTGTAAGACTATGTAGTTTGTTTAGCAGATGCTTAATTTCTAAGCAATATATATATACTGATTGTTTTTCGCCTCACACATTCATCCCTTAAAGACGGCGATGCAGATTTATCCCCAATGAGTGGATGAAGGCCGGGCTGTTAAAAAAGGCATCCTCTCACTTACTTTGTTTCTCATTGCAAAAATGCTGTAGGAGATTCCTGAGTGCCTTTAAATGCAGGCCAAAGCCTGTGCAGTACCCTGCACTTCAACTCGCTGCTTGGGTGGCCAGTTAGCCCCATATGCTTCCCAGTGCTCTAGTTTAAGAAACTCTTCCGAAGGTCTCGTCTTACCCTGTCAATCTCTGCTGTTTTGAGAACCACACTAAAATCAGAAGTTTAATGAGGTGGGGGGGGGGGGGGGTTGTGGGTTATGGTGTGCCTGTGATTGGAAGGTCACCAGGTCAAAATCCCATGGCTGACTGAGTGGTTTCACTGGTGGGTGTTGAGATAACCCCTTAACCCAACTAACTGCTTCAAGGCCACTGGCTGACTCTGCTGTTTGAGCTTCGCTCATATGACACTTTGGACAAAAGCCACTGCAAACGAAACAAATGTAATATGACGTAGTGGAAGCTCACTTGATGCAGAAAAGAAGAAGCTTGTAATGCGGGACAGCTGCTGTGTGTATGTCTGCCTGTAGCCCAGATTCTGGTATCCAGCCGTGAATGTAGCTAATGACATTCTGCTGCATTACCCTGCAGGTAAAGACTAGGTGACAGAAGCAGCACTATGTACACATGCATGATCGCCCATGCTCCCTGGCACGTGTGCGTGTGTGTGCACATGCGTGTGCGAGCATCCCAAGCTTGCTTACCCAAGTCCATCTGGAATCTCTGCTCTGTGTCATTAGCTTGACAGGAGACCCATGGAGAACAATAGTCCTGTAGTTGCAAGAGCAGCTTGTTTATTTGCCCGAGCAGAGGTGCCACGTGTCCTGTGAGCCTCCCCAGAAGGCCTGGGACATGCCAGGCCTGCAAGGGTTGGAACTGATCATGTGCCAAGTGGATGTTAAGACCTCACGTCCAAATACTTTGAAATCTTTTTTTTTTCTATTCCTCCTTGATTTCATCTTTCAGTCTTCAACTCTGCAAGAGTCTTTAATGATCCTTTGAGGATACATAGCAGCTGCGCACGTCAGCTGATCGTCCGTCGCGACTTTTCATTTCATGTTTTTAATTTTCAGTGCTTGATGCCAGCCCACCCTCTTAGGAAAAGAGGTGACACATACCCGTGTGTCATTTCGGGGCAGCATGCCTTATTAATTTGTCCTGTAGTTTGCGAAACTTATCATCCTGCTAGTCCCCACAAATATGCCCCCTCCTGCTGGGACATTGAATCGTTTTTGCTGAATGTTGGATCACGCCTGCATGACCCACAAGAGTGGTCCCTATGCAGCATGAGCTGTGAGTCATGGCTAGATAAGGAGCAAAAAATATTACTGAATCAAATGGAGCAAAAACAGAAAATGATCCAGCAGTGTGTTTTTTTTTCAGCGTCTCTGGTTGTGAGTTTTTGGGAAATCTCAGTAGTCTGCAGCAGACGGGTGTGAAATTTTTGCATCCCAACTAAACACTCATTCCCCTTGCTTTCTCCTATTTCTTTGTCTCGGGCTCCGGTTCCAGGACGGTGCTGTACGAGTGCTGCCCCGGTTACATGGCGATGGAGGGCGCACAGGGATGCCCTGCCGGTGAGTGGCTCTGCAGAGAGAGCAGTCACTCGCAGGCTAAGCGAGCGCCTGCCACAGATTTGCCTCTCGAGCACAGGTTAGCCTGGCACACCGATTTCAGGCTCGGCTAAGTGAAGAGCAGCCCATGGGCAGGGGGTCACGCCTGTAGGACATTTGAACAAAGGGCCTAATGTTTTTCAGTGAATGATCCAGCTGTGTTCATGGTGGGAACACGTTACTTAAAGCTGTCATC